CAGAGATTAACACCAAGATCTCCACCAGACATACAAGCAGTAAACAATACCTTAATCAAGGAACTACCAGAGGAAAAAACAGAACAGAACAAAACAAAACCCACACTCCCACCAACACTGGCAGGGCATGCCACAATATATAAACAGAGAGCAAACTCCATTCTGTTCTAGCACTGAAGATGTTACCTAGCCAGGTAATGAAACGTTTGCAAGAAAAGAACCAAGCTCAGAGAACCCCAAGGACTCCACAGAGAAGCTTTAGCTGTGGCTGAAAGTTACTTACAGCCTTTTAGACCTTATCCAGCAGAGGGCAGTGGTCTCTATGTTTTGCAACAGGTTCTCCTGGTACCTGTTGGAAGATGCTTTTGAAGTACAATACTACTGATTGTGGCTTGGACTAGTGACAGGCAGAGCAAATTTTTCTGCTTTCTTTTTTTTCTCTCCAGTGAAAGCATCATCAGGGAATTCCTCCCAGGGGGCTTTTTTCTGTAGTAATGCTACTGCTACTGCTAAGGGAAAGGCCTACCTTGAGAAATTATTGAAGGTCTTATTCCCTTTTAGAAATTCAGAGAAATTGCCTATCCACTTTCTCTGCTTGTTTGTGCCCAGCTGTAGCTGGCACTTTTAAGCACAGGTATTGGCCTGCTCTGGATTGCCAAAAGACTAACTGGCTTTATGTTTTTTCCCAGCAGAATATTCACAAGGGCCTATCCCAACGTTGTGGAATGATCCACCGGAGCTGCCATCAGGTGGAGGACCTTTAGAAACCACTCCCCCTGCCCGCTTCTCAGATTCTACAGGATTCCCACCATATACATCTGATTATGAACTAGAGGACACAACCCATCTCCACCAGCTGGATAATGGAAATGGTATCTGTGCTTGGCAGTGGGGCTAAGTACTGGGATGGTTCTAGTGACATCTTGTTGGTCCTTCTAATAAAGGGTTGAGGAACTTACACATCCCCTTATGGCCACAAGCCCATGAAGGAAAGAATGAAACCATGTATTTTTGCTGAGTGGGTCCAGAACATACATACACTTCTCTTTTTCACTGATTGGCTACATAAAGAGGCCTGGCTGGCTATATCAAGCCCAGGGGAGCTTTTAGGATTACTTTTATTCCTCTCTTACAATTAAGTTTGCAATGGTTTGGGGGAGATAGTTAAAAGGGACAAACTGTTTCCTGAAATTTCTATCCTGGGTATAAGCACACTGCATGTATTGCTTAGCTGGTGGGATGCAGGCAACAGTATGTTTGCAAACCAGTCTTAGAGATCCTGGTTTGCATAGAAGAGTGGGACCATACCTGGGGTAAAACTGGGCTTTGGTTGTGCTTGTGGCATTCTGGCCAGAGGGTACCAAACTGACTGGCGTTGTGTCTTTACCATTAGCAAGGAGTGCTGCATGTGGCAAGTGTGCACCTGATAACCCAGTAGGCATGTGCAAAACCTTGAAGAGGTTTGGGAACAGAATGTTCTGAAGAACAAGAGAAATTTCTTGTTCAGACCATGCTGCACTTCCTCTAGACCATGCTGTTCAGTTGTCAGTTTTCCAGAAGTAAATTCTTCAGACTAGAAGTGGTTCAAATTGTTCTGAACATGGTGTTCTGGATAAAACAAGCCTTTGGGGGAGAGGGGGGGAACCACTCCCAGAATATGACCTTCATAAGAGAATTAGACGAGAAGTTTAAAGAATAAAAAGCAATACATGAATCAGTGCATGGAACTGGCGAATGCAGTGACAAAAAGATACTGTATAGAGAGGTATAGTGAATTAGTGCTATATATCAATGCTAATTTGATTTTGAGTGTGCATGGGTGTGCATGTTGTATCTGTTCACATCTCCATAAGTGAAATGTGTCTAATAAAAGTTGTTAACAGCTGCAACATGAGGTTCTCCAATTCCCATTTGAATCTCAGCTCATCCCTATTTTGAAGAGTTGGTGGTAGGGGATGTAACTGTGCATATTCAGATTTTTTCCTCTTTGTCTTGCCTCCTGCCTTAATTTTGCTTACAACTACTTACTATCTTTCTGTGCTTTAAATAATGCTGCCTACTCCAAAAGGGAATAGTGTGATGCGTGTGTAAATATGTGCCCATTATATGTACATTTATAGCAGTTCATCTACAAATGCCTGTATCCAAGGACATATCTATAATTTATTCCCAGATCTATAAAAACACAAGGAATGCAGTCCTCTATTTTGACTTGCTTTTTAAAATATATTTAGCATAAACCACAGTGCATTTAGTTCTAATCATAATAAATGGCCATGGGTAATTGAAAACAGGAGCAAATTTCCTTTCTAGTTTCATATTTTCAAAGAGCAGTCTGAGGCTCTCACACGCAATACAAATTAAGCCATGTCTTGTTGATCAGCAACGCGTGTCATCCAAACCATAATATGGCCTTGGTCAGGGACCCCAACTCTACTTTTGCTCTGACTCATTGGTTCAGCATTAACACACACACACAGACACACATGCACACAGAACAAAAATTATCCAATTATCTTTATTTTTCACATCTCATCTATATATCAACTTTTATGATATTCCATCTCTAGTTTAAGATTGCAAAATTTAGTGTGGTTAAACTTTGCCAATTTGAATTCAGGGAGTTAGAAAGCAAGATCTTCCAACTTCAGTTGAATCAAAGTATCAGATTTTTATTTTTTTTTAATAATCGAACATCTGAATAAAATATTTGCAGTTATCTTGGCATGATGCAGAAGCGGTTTGCTATTGCCATCTTCCAGAATATTCTTTCAACTTCATGGTCTATTTTAAAGTACTGGGCTTCCCAGATAATCAGGGATGTGTGCGGGGGGGAGGTCAAAAGTCTTTGATTGTATATCATTTTTAACTAATTTACTGCTGTATTGTTTTCTCTATATGCCATACCTAAGTACTCTTCTGTTCTCCTTCGTCTCTCCTCAACTGCAGGGTCTCTGGGCCCTGGGGCTATCGGTGCCATAGTGATTGCTGCTCTGCTGGGTGCATCTGTGATCGTGGCCTTGATTGTCATCACTCTACGGAAATGTTCTGCTTCCTAAAATCAATAAAAAGTGGTTCCCTCCCTGAGTATTCTCTTGTCCAATCTCCCTCTTTCCTCTGTGCTTGCAGACTTTGTGGGCAGAATAGGAAGAACAAAGGTACACCTGCATTTCAGGGGGCAATCTGCCCTTAAGCCACCTTGGGCCATGGCCACTGGGCCTCCTTCTTTTCCTTCAGGCAAAAGGGCTTTGAAAACACGAGTTTAATGATTGCACAGTTGGGTGTTGGGAAGAGGAACATCTAGACTAAGAAGCTGCTACAAGCATCAAGTTCCTGACCAGAAGAGGTTTGCACCACCAAATATGATGAAGCACGTGCATTACTGAAAGGCCACGTTAGGTTCATGCATGCCCTCAAAGGCACACATCCAAACTGACTATGAAGGCTTGACTGCTATAGCAAAAATTAAACAATAACCAGCGGCTTAGCTTTTGATTCCTGAAATATTAATGCTGGGGAGTAGGAACAAGCTGTTCTGTATTTATTTTCAGATGGCCTGATTTTATATACTGTTCTGTTATAATTAAACAAACCTTGTTTTTTTTTTCTAAATACCATGTTTGTCCTGGCTTTTTTTTTTTAAGCAGCCCAATCAGCTTTGTTAACATAGTATATACAAAATATTTGGATATAATTTTGGGGAGAGATAGGGAACATTTAAGGTTAAAAAAAAACTATACAAACTTTTCCTTTTGTGTAAAGCAACAATATTTACTGCATGCCCTTATGAACATGCACTTCTATTTATTTGACCAATAATGTATGAGAGTGGTGTAACTACTCTGACTTTAAACATCAGTGTGAAACTCTATTAACATCTCCCAAGTGATCAACTTGGTTTGGGGGCTTGTTGTGGAGTAGCATATTGTGACAGGCTTATGTGTCAAGTGGTACCTGGTAGCTGGCTTGTAAAGTTAGAGCCACACCGGCCACCCCATGAACCATGCAGCCACTCAGGTTAAGCTTTTGCACAGTACTCTGTTACATATTTACTTTCCAGTGAGAGATTTGGCTGATCACCTCCTAATACATCACATCATCCAACCTAAAGTTAGCACTTTTTTCAATTTATGAAGAGCTGCTCTGCCAGAACTTATTTATGTTTTCTTAGACATTGGAATAGCTTGTCAGAGTATTCAATCTTAAATTATTCTGAAAGTATGTTGACTTGGATTGCGATTGTTGGGCTTCTAATTTTCATCAGTTCCAGTCAGCCTGATGAATGGTCATGGATTCTGGGATTTATAGCTGAACATCCAGAGGATCATAGGTTCCTCATTCCTTCTCTAAAATATTAATATATCACAGATATTAATATATCACATATTTATTAATATATATAACAAGAGATCCTGTGAAAGATGGCTTTCCTCCACTGCTTACATCATTCCAGATTATCCTTCCATATATTTGCCCAACTTATTATAGGAACTGACTTATACATTGTCTACAATTTTTGGGTGATACTTTCATGTTTTTATACAATCTTATTTACTTTTTATTATTTTGCAAGTAAACTGTTTAAAAGGCACAGCAATGGCATAAGCAAAACATGATCGGTATTAGAGTAACATTGTGAGACAGGAGAATAGATGAGGGCTCATCCATGAAGAAATGGCTGTTTCCCCTCCAAAACTCAGCCACTTGTGTGATTTTAGACATGTATCAGTATAGCTCATCAGGAAAAAATTACCTTAATGCAATTTGGAAAGCTGAGTTTTTGATAGCAATGAAGCACTAGGATCAGGTTTGAATAATATTAGTGACAACTATGCTAGGTTGAATTGGCCAGGAATGTCTTACGTTTTTCTGTCATTTCTTCCCCTCTTCCTTTGTTCATTTGGAACAAGGGCGAGGGAATTACACACCTGTTTTCTACCTAAGATAAAGCAATGTGAAAATTCATTATGGCCATCTAGTTGCCATCCAGAATTCTGCTAGTCAAATCTGGTAGCCCTAGAACTATGGGTGGGTGAGGGTTTTTTCTAATCTAATGATTACAAATTAAAAGTTTTCACATGCTTCCAAAAATGAGAGATTCATTTGCTGTCCTTTCAAGCTGAAAACTCTTATTTCTGGGGTTTGGTATTACTGATAAGAATAGATAGTACAGAATCAGTTGGACCAATGGCCTCTCTCAGCAGCTTCATCTCTTCAAAAGCCTCTCAACTCTGGGCAAATTAAGACGTTGGTTATATTTGTGCCTTGTAGAAAGGGCATTTATTAACTATTTTTGGAGTATGTAAATAAATATTTTTTGATGATTGCTTCTATCACACTTTTAATATGCAAAGCGCTTTACAGTCTTTTAATCTATTAGGCTTGGGACAATAGCTGACCATGTGGCTTTTCCAAAGTTAGAAGGATCTTGATGCTGGTTATAGCTCTGTATTAAATGAGGAGACATTTCTTGTTCTTCTGGCTCAAGGCTTTCCTTGAAGTACAGACTTCATGCACTTTTCTAAGAGTGCACAACAAATGTGCAAATACATTCCTATTAGTTTGATGCAACTTTGGAGATATTTAATACAAATGTTCATCTTTTGTCTCAAGCCTCCTTCCACTGAATTTCTTTGTATGGGCATTGTCTGTTATCTGTATATAACAGCAGAACAAAGGAGCAAGATATAGAACTTGGTTGTTCGGACTATGAATGAGTTACCTAAGCTTCTCAGATGTTGCACCCTTGTGGAATGTTGAGTAGCTTATTTAGCTGCGAAAACATATTCTTCCCTGCTCTTCTTTTACTTCTTTTTCAACATATGCAAATGCTTAAGTGAGTGCAAGATTTCTCAGAGAAATCTCTTCATGGGATATTGTCTCAAATATTGTATTCTCCTATACAGTTTAGTGCAGCATTTGCTTAGGACAAAACCCTAAATACACTTTCCATTCTGGCACCGACTCTCAACATAGCTACACTATCTGTGGTTGCCATTGGTGGGTATATCAGATAATTATATTTGGATAAGTAAGTGTAGTTGGTGATTGCTTTACACAGGGAGTAATGGTTCTTATGAAATAGAATATGCAGGGCTGATATTGAGAGTCAGTTAATGTGGTTTGGCATACATCATTTTGAAAAGTGTAGGCTACAAAGGTCAATAAAATAGAGGGATGGTAACCTGAGTTCCCATTTGTGCCTCTGCGACCAACTGACTCTTATTTTAGAAAATATAGCTTGTATACTTCAGTATTACATTCTAGAAATTGGAAATTCATAACCCAGGGACCCAAATAAATAAATACTGTGGTGCATTTTAACTACATAACATTGTACTTTCTAATCACTTTGTTACCTCTCTCTCTCTTTCTCTCTCTCTCCAAAACCAAGAAGAAACTGGTTTATCACATGAGCAGTTCAAACTCAATTCCTAGGAAAAACTTTCTGAGTATAGAAACATGGAAGCTGACAGTTTATAACGTAGGCTTTCAAAGTTGTAGTGTCCACAACTTCATTATCTTTCCATAAGAAAATCAAATGCTGCACATTTTTGTGCCATTGGATGGAATGCTAAAGGACCAAGTTGCTAGATTTATAGACCTTGACATAGTTTTCCCAGTCGCTCAAGTGATCAGTTTCCTCACCATGCAGAGTTAACAAATTTACAATCTTCAGAGTTTGCAGTACATTTGGAAAGACATTTACAGTTTCTACATCTGTACAGGCCCATGACAGCCTCACTTCTTTTCTGTCTGTCTTCAGAAATAATATCCAGCTTGTAATGAGAATGCAAGGAAGCCCAATAGTTCATAGGTGAAAGGATTCACTTGCCAAATGATTCATATGCATTCTCTCAATCACTATATTTCATTGTCTCAGTTCCTGCCATAAATTGCTTCTGAAGAACAGATGACTAAGCAACGATCATTGTCTATTCCTGCTGCTCATCTTCCTCCGCTGACTGTCGTCGGATTTGTGCACTCGGAAACATTCCTTTAAATTCTGAGATCGAATCTTGGGATTCATAATCTCTTCACCCATAGAACTGGGGAACCAACCTCTTTCTTGATCATGCAGACGCTCCCCAAATATCCAGCCTGGAGTAAAAGAAAATATAGTGATAGTGGAAGAAACATACCAAAAGAGATCAAATTAATATTGGCTTAATGATTCAATACAATGTGCAGAAAGTTTTTTTTTCTTTAATCAGAATGTATTAAGGGGAGCTGGTTACATAGTCTTAAGTGTGAAGCAGATGTTACAACTAATGGAAACATAAGAATTCAGCTTCATTGGCACTGAAATATTTTAATATTACTGCAGTTTGTAAATAAGAGTATGACAAATTGCATACTTATTCTCATTCATTTCCTTCGGCCACAGCCCACTATTGCGGTCCTTAATCATGGATGTAAAATAGAGTTCAATTATAATGGAACTGGGACATGACTCTGCATAAGTCTTGTTGATCTTACCATCATCTGTCTTTTCCAGAATGTTCAGGACATCAGCCAGTTCCAGCGAAAGTTCGTCTGGCTGCTGGGCTACGTAAGGATGGACACATTGTACTTGAGGGCAATCTGTTAAAGGAAAAGAAACAAATTAATTCAGTTTGCCAATCATGTATGAGAGGGAACTGCAAGGGTATCTTTAGTAGAATTAGGAACTAATGAAATCCTGGTTTATATGAAAAACTTGCTGCAAAATGTAGCATGCAGGAATCTCTCTCTCTCTCTCTGCAATTTTCCTGGCAATGTTTTGCCATTGCCTCTTTCGTAGGGCTGTGAGACAGTGACTTGACTCAGAATCACCCAGCTGGCTCCGTGACCAAGGCGGGACTAGAACTCACAGTCTCCCAGTGCCTAGCCCGGCGCCTTAACCACTACACCAACCTGCTCTCTCAATCAATAATACCCATCCTGATTTATATCTTGGAAGAACTGACATTGCTAAAACCCTGTAAAGTGGTGTTCCTCAACCTTAGCAACTTTAAGATATGTGGACTTCAACTCCCAGAATTCTGGGAGTTGAAGTCCACATATCTTAAAGTTGCCAAGGTTGAGGGACACTGCAATAAAGGAAGAAAAGTATGGCATGCTTCTCAGACCTGTTTGGATAGCACCTGTCAAGTCTTCCTTTTCCCTTACTTTCCTTACCCATAAGCCTGGATGTGAAGGAAACAAACTTGGTTCGTCGATTTGGAGCCAGCAAAATCATCCAGCGTTTCATTTCACTTCTGTGTGACATGTACGGGAAGAGAACACAGCAGTCAGTGTTTTCCATACAAGTTTGGAAAGGTTAGAAATCATGCAGCTCTTACAATTAGCTGTTCCTGCAAAGCCAACTTGCATATTTTTCTTTTTCTTCTATTTTGATAAAAGATATTTTCTTACATCTATGTAGGAATCAGAAAGCTCATATGGCTTCTTTTCCATAAGTTTCAGTGACCGTAAGATATATAAGAACCCATTTATTCTACTATTATTTTGCTTTCTATTAATCTCCTTCATTTAAAGTATTTTTCTTGCCTTGTACATAGCTTTAGGCCTTTCCCTCAATACTGCACCCTTCAGCACATGCAAACAGGTGAAATCCATGCGCACTTTATAATTCCTCTTGTCATCCAAGCCATTAAAATGTCATGCACCTGCAAAATGACTCATCTGCAGTTATTCATTTGTTAGAATGCCTTGCAGAATGTAATGCAATAAAGCAAAGCTACAAATTTCTGTGAAAACTGACCATGCTTCAGAAATGTTTGGTAGACTACAAAAATATAAATTCCACTATCATAGTCATCTTAGTTTTCAACTCTTGCTTTTAAAGAATGCATTGTTTTCTGAAAATACAGCAGTCATTTCCCTTTCCTAGTGTCAAATTAGATATGATACCAGGGACCTGTAACTAATATATAAATAAGAAAAACAAGGACTTACCATAAAGAGCATATATTTTGATTTCAGAACAGAACATGTTTGCTATGGTCCCTAACCAGTAAGGATGTGGTTAGGTAACTGAATTTATATTGCTTGAATGGAAATACATACTAATTAAAGTAGGAATAAAATAAAAATAAAATAGAACAATAAAATGCAAGTACTTGAGTGCTAAAAGATTCAGTACTTAAGACTAATCTATACATAAAACTACTTTGCAAGGGTTTAAAGAAGAACATACTCAGGTATATAAGGAGTTCTACAGAATTGCACAAACATTTAGATAGTGACCACATGGTCACAGTCATGTTTATGAGACTAAATCTATAGAATGTCCATATCTCACATAATGTGTTCCACCTGCCTCTTGAAGGAGACCATCAGAGAATGAAATGGCCCACTAGTGTGGAAAAAAAATAATTGAAATGCTTTAGCAGCTTCCAAACTCCTGAATTATTGTACTGAAGCACTGGGATGTATTTTGGATATGACTTATTTGCCAAAAATCTGAAATAGAGTTAACAAATTAATGGTGATCAAAGAGTATCAGGTATGTTTCTTATGATTTTAAGATTGGATTAATTTAACAAAAGATTTTTGTCCATGTTTATTAAACACCTGAGAGCAAAGTCTGGCTGACTTGCTATTCTGTAAGAGTAAAATAGATAAAGGAATCTGACCCTGTCCCACTACAGGGTCTGTCCCCACTACTGTCCCATTTGGTTTAATATACATTACTTGTTAATACAGTAATATGAGGATCAATACGCTTTAAATACGTGAATGCACTTTAGAATATATCACTTCCTGAAGAGGCATGGAATTACCAAGTATGAGATGTTGCAAAAAAGATTAAAGTTCAACACTGGAAGAACAGTGTGACCTCAATGTGACCCCACTGATTACACATATGATTGATGATGTGTGTTCACTTTCTGATTGTGAAATGATTCTCTACTGATGCAGTGGAAACAGTGATCGATATCATTCCATTACTCAAGGCTTAATTATGTTTTTATGGGCTGGGCTGAATAACTTCCTTTGTATGTAAAAAGCAAAAAGTGATTAACAAATTCAAAAAAGAGTTGCCACAAAAAAAAGTCCCCAATGTGACCTCTTCTTTGAGGTTCAAAGATCATGGGGTGGGATCAACTTCATTTGAGCATAGGATGTCCACAAAACAATTTACCTTTAAACAACAGCTTTATAGCCAAACAGGAGAAAAAAAATTATCTCCTTAGCACATCTTATATTCATTTTAGGAATGTTCTGCGACCATGAGTTCAAGAATGAGGATGACATGCTCCCAACAAAGGGGAGAAAACCCAATTTGGTTTGGCTTTCTAATTTCAGAATGGAAAAAATCATGACCCTATCTTTAATTCACTGTTTTGGGGGAGGAGGAAAAAAACTATTCTAGTTCTATCCAAAAATTAGATACTACATTTTTCTATGCCTAACCGTGAGAGTTGTAAAACAGAATCACACGGAAAACCCCCAAGGGGAACTAATCTTAGTGATAAAAATAAATCACAAGGTAGTTTCTGCTAAGATTTATACATAGAACAATTTCTGAATTGATTTCTGCACAACTTGCTCACTGATTATCCTGGAAAACCTAAAAATCCGTAATCCATTAAGATGGAGCAAACTGAATGGGATCACCCACAGAATCCACACATTTGCACTTGTATCACTTGCTGTACTCACTGGGATAACGCCTTCAACATATAGCTCACTTCACGGTCATCTGCATTTTCTAACAGCCTCAGAATAAATACATTGGCCAAGCTCTGTCCTTGGTCCTCCAACTCTTCCACTCGAAGAAGCCCTCGAGGAGCAGAATCAAATACTTGGTACTTGTCACTGAAGGAAATAATAAAAGGTTAACTAGTCACAGGCTGGGTATAATTATTCTTTTAAAATGGGGCAAAGGAACAGGCAGAATATACTCGTCAGAGATGAACCAGAATGAAGTATTTTTGAAGATTAGAAGAATATATGACTTAATCTCAGCTATAAATTAAAGGGTACCTGGATATAATAAAATTCTGAAAAACCCTCTTATATTGCAAGGTACTCCTAGGGAGATTATTTTAAGGACAAGCAAGAATCAGATGACTGGGTTTGTGGCTGAATCCAGAAACTGGAAAGTAGCCCAATTCACCATGTGTTGCTCTGGGGGGTAGGTCAGGATTGGGGCACTTGCTCCTTTGTCTGCAACATTATTTGGGGAAACATATGCTGGCCTATGACTGTAATAAAGATTTGCTTTGGGAAAACTAGTCCAATCTCCTACTTATGATATAGCTTCAAAAAATATAAGCACCTAAAATGCCTTTAACTTCTTTGTTTTCCATTAGAATGGGATAAAAGATGCAGGGAAGTTAGACCATGATCCAGCTATAAATTGGGCCACATTTCTTAGGAATCAGTGCACAACTTTTCAAGTTAAGTGTGTTTTGATGTTTCTACTTCTGTGTGCTTGGGAAATTTAACCAATACCCCACTTTCCACCCCTGGCTGATCTTCAGCATCTCCAGTGATGCTCAAATGATACTATTTTATATATTGTATATAATATATATATATATATATATAT